TTCACGGGCTGGAGCTGTATACAACATGATCGCGACTGACACGCCAGCCAGGTTTATTCGTTTCTCACTACTCGGCCCGCTATCAGTCGACACTAGCCGAGTTAAGAAAGCAATGACTGTATCTTTCATTTTCTACTGCACCCTGTGAACCATAAATTTTGTACCAGAGTCACAGGCCTATTGCATTTTATGGTAGCTTCGTTACTGCATGCCTCTTACTTCCTCATCCTATAATAAATTCTGTCAACAGTACCAAAACTGCTGCAATATTTAGCTTACCACACACTGCAATTGACTCTTGAAACAATTCTCATTACCTGATCATCAAAGATAATAATATTATGTTCTAAGTGGTACAAAATTTTAGATTGACGAGACCCGTAGTAGGGTAACAGCCGTTGACCTCCTCTTGACATCCTTCGATCTCCCTCTCACGTTAACGGATAATGTATTTTTAAACTTTTACATTCATCAATCTAAAGATCTTTACACTTCCATCTCTATATATACATATTTATCTGCTTATGCAATTTGGATATACAGGGTGGCACATCGAAAACGAAACAGATGCATTTACTGGCAGCTCAGTTTTTTTTGGAAAAACGCTCAGACCCGTCGATTTTGTTTTCGAGGGGGACACAAGTTTGGCAAAAACTCACGTTAACACGTGCAGCCTCCTGGGCGGGGGTGACACCAACCCTAAAATTTTAAATGGGAAGGGGGGTCGACTGATACACTATTTTAAAGGTCTTTCAATTCCCTTTATAATGATGTAAAATATATGAGCTTCAGTTCAGTAGTTTTGAAGATTTATTGATTTAAAACCCAAAGTAGACTTTAATAGGTACATCAGATTAGTTTGTACTACTTTCAGAAGAAATTTGACTAAAATAATTTACTTAATAAGTAAATGCTTTTCTTCATTACGCCCATGGTTCGTTTATCATTTTGTTGTTGAAAATAGCTATTGGAGGGTTTTTTTTTGTGGAAAAAAAGTTATTTCTTGAAGAAAGATAAGCAAATATCTCGTACTTATTTTAAATAGGAATTTGGTACATAGTTTGCGATTGATTTGACCAAACTTTGTTGCTAAATTTGTTACGCTTTATTACATAAATAAATCATGGTATATTCCACAGCAGAAAGAGTTGAAATTATCGAAATATTTTTCGGAAATAATCAGTGCGCTAATAGAACATCAGAAATATTTAATGAGCGACATCAGAACAGTAACGTGCATCGAAAATATGTTCTATAACTTGCAGCTAAATTTCGGGAAGCTGGGTCAGTCGCCAATAAAAAACGCAACATTGAAAATCCCATAACGAACGAAGCAATAGAAGTGAGGGTTTTGGGGCAACTTTATGTAGATCCTACGTTAAGTACCCGCAAATTGGAGACTGTGTGTAGTCGACGTACTGTCCAACGGATTCTAAAGGCTCATAGTTTTCATCCGTATAAAATTCACCTGGTGCAAGAACTTAATGAAGACGATTTTGATCGGCGATTACAATTTTGTGAATATATGAGTGAACGAATTATAAACGATGAACATTTTCTATTCAACACTTGCTTTTCCGACGAATGTTCCTTTTTCTTAAATGGCGTTATTGGTCCGATTCTAATCTCAGAATTTATCATGAGGTTCAGCAGCGGAGGAGGATATCTGGGATTTTTTACACTTATATTTTTCTAATTTTTGGGTCATCAAAAAAGGTATCTGCAAATTTTTCCTTAGCCGTTTCAGCGAATAAGAGGGGTTTTTTCCGGAAAACCAAATTCATACAACAATATTCGCAATCCTTTATAACACCATTACGCCAACGGACATAACTTTGTGGCTATGTTACCACTTTTGTCTCAGTTTCGCCTATTTAACTGGACTACATGTTACCAGTGAAAATATGCTCGTACAAAAGCAAAGGAAAACACCTTTTGCGGAACTGAACCAGTTCATAGTCGATCGATAACAGACGGCATAATGATCAAATATATGTTTTTAACCCTCTCCCACAGAAGAGGAATGTTACAAGTTTAACGTGTGTATCGTGCATTTCCATTTTTATTTTGTATATTCAAGAAAAGCTGTTTATCCGCTTGAAGTTTGGATTAATCATTATTCTACACTTGTTTCTTAAAAACAAATGGCGTCAAGGGGGTTGACTCTGCGTTTCTTACGTAACGCCGTCTTCAGTTCATAAAGAATAAAGTTTAACACAATTTAAATCCCCTGAGAAAAAACTGAGTTACGGACAAGTACAACAGAGAAATTAAATGTATTAAGTCAGTCAAACAGGCCCATACAATTAGTCCATATATAGTCTTTCGATGCGCAACTGGTAGCTCCCGACCATGTGGAAACGTTGTCCCTTTCCACATCTGCGAGGTATCGCTGCAGCGAGTTATCCTTCGTTTTGTGCATATGAATCCATATGTTTTTGCGTTTCAGTACGGATACACGTTCTAATAAATTAACTTTTTTGAGAAACTCTAAAGGGTATGAGAAGTAAACTACCCCAACCCCTAGATAAGTTATAGCAGAATTTTTTGGCAACTTTTCCATTTTGTGTCCCATCTTAGATAGTTTTCACGTCGCAATGTTGATTGGCGTTGTCTATCCGAACCTCGTGTACCTTTGTTTTCAATGCTCCCCAAATAAAAAATGTCGCAAGGATTAAGATGCGCGGAGCGAGGTGGCCATTGAATAGGAGTTTCTTGACCTCGACCTACAAACAACAAAGTAACAATAAAAAATCAATAATAATAAATAATCACACATTACTTATTATTTTAAACTTCACGAACTTTGTTGTCAAAAATAATCTGACACTGATATAACAAATTACCGCCAGCTAGATGTCTATTAGATTTTAACCCTTGACGGAATGAGAACAATATTTAGAGAGCAGTTCCGAAAAACATTTTTTTCTCGAAAACTATGCAAGATGGCTTGTTTTTATAAGGGTGTTCCTTAATGATATGCGAATACTTAAGGGTGTGAATCTACATGAAAATACTGTTTCTTATTAGTAACGGAACATCATCAAGCAGCAAAGGCAACTGTTGTTGAAGAAAATTGAGGTGAGTCTGTCCGTCAAGTCGTCCCGGCAAGAAGAATGGCCAATAAAGTGGTTGCCAATAATGGAAATGGGTTTCGGTTACGGCATAGGGATTTTCTTCTGCCCACAAATGATTATTGTGGAAATTATGAATGTCATTTCGAGAAAAATTAGCTTCGTCCGTGAACAGAATCATTGACTCAAATTGTAGATTTTGTGTAATTTTTTGATGATACCACTGACAAAAGGTCACACGCCTTGGAAAATCAATGAGAAGTAATGCATGTACTCTTAAAATATGGTAAGGATATAACAAAAAATCCACTAAAATTCTCCATACAATATGATGGCAAATATTTAAGTGTCTAGCGATCTTTCTCGTACTCATTTTAGGATGTTCTCGTGCATCACTGCTTCCTCAATTTCAGGTGTTCTCACACTTATGGTCTACCTTCAGATGTTCCTTTTCGAACAGAACCAGTTTCAACAAGACGACGATGAATATTAGAAAAGGTTCGACTATCTGGTAAAGCACGATCGGGATATCTCTGGTGATAAATCCGTCTGACTTGCTCAGCATTACTGTTCGCAAGGCCATATACGTAATGCATTTCCGCCATTTCTGCATTTGAATAATTCAACATTATTAACAAGATTGTAAAAACTAAATAATTAAAAAGATGTCACAGCGAACAGATTTGAATAACAGAGACTTGTCAGATGTCAAAAGCCAGTGACATATTCCAGAGTACACTAGATATTTATTGCTAAATTGCATTCTTCAATTATTACATTAATTTTCTTGGACAATAGAATGGTCTTTATTTTTTTATTAAAAAATGGCGCATTGAAAACCAACAATCAAAGAGAGATTATTTGTTTTAAATTGAACGGGGAATTCACTAAATATCAGTGAAATATGTGAAGCGGTTCTGAAATTATTAATTAATTTCCATTTTTTTCCTAAAACTTCAACACCCCGAGTTTTTGCAAGGAAACATTTTTGGACCATAATTTACAAAGCAAACTAACATTCCATTTAGATTCACACCCTTAAATATTCGCATATCATTAAGAAACAAAAAATGATGTAAACAAAAGGATGTCTTGAATAAATGAAACAAAGTCTGCTACCACCCAAGTAGGGATGGGGTAGTTTTGACCTTTTTCGGAACCTTTTGAAGTTTCAAGTAAATGTCAAATATTAGGACGTCTAACACATTTCATTCAAATCTGTCGGTTCCAGAAATAACTGAAAAATATGTTTCAAAAAGAAAAGTTTGACGCTCTCTAACGGACAAACCAAACATTTTTGAATAGAGGTAAATCATGTCCAGTCGAATTATTTTAAGTCTAAGGGCCGTATCGTCAATCGTTCCGACAATTATAGGATCCAAAGTCTCCTTGATATTTATCTTCTTCTGAAAGGCTGGGATATTCCTAGATTTCTACTATTCCGTGTCAGCGTCAGCGCTCCTCCTATTTCTTTTTGAGTTGCAGGAAAATTCGGGCTGATAAAACAGGCGATAAAAATCAAAAGCGCATGAACAATTTGATGCAAATAGATATTTGTAGCTCTAAAAAAACTACGAAAATTAAGGAGGCCAAAAAGGCGTCCTACAATTGTAGGAAAGACTGACGATACGGCCCTTAAATAGGTGGTGCTTTATATCCACAAAATATTGGGACCTGTATACAAAGTACTGTCGTTCGTAAATCTGTTTATGAGGTTTTGAGTCAAAAATTTGAAACCGTCTTTGGATCAACAAAGTCTACAAAACTGAAAGTGTGTGGCCCGCTTCGTGCTATGATTGATTTGATAAAATCCAATCAACTCATCATTGAAATCGGTCCAGCTACCGGCTACTAGGTTTAACCGTCGCGGCATGACATGGCCCGCTATCTCTTTCTCTTTCAAATTCTTACTCCCTTTCTTCCTTCGTCTAACCGAACGTTACGCTCTAATCAGATAAGAAATATAATCGCTTTTTTCTATGCACATCGAAAGAAAGTGGAAGTAAATTGTCCAAGAGACACCGGAAACTGTTCAGTTCCGTATATAAATTGGTTTTGTCGCCGTTACCGGCTCAGTTTGTTGCGAAACACCACCTAATCCGGAACACGTGTACATGGAACATGAAGTCATTCGTAAGTAAATATTTGACAAAAAATCTACGACGTTCATTTGTTAAAATTATTCCCATAAAAATAGGAGTGAGCCTTGGATTATAGGTGAAACAGTGAATGTGATGGGATATCAGTGATAAAAGTGAGAAGCAGGTGTATTTAGGAAGCCCAATTTGTGTGTCGATTAGTGTGATCATGATGCATACATATTATAAGATTTTCTACCAGTCGGTAAAAAATACATTACAAACTGTGATACTGTCAACGAGTTCTCTCGATGTCTTTTTCTTTTGGATAAAAGTTCTCTTTGGCCTTTCCCTTTTTCTTCTTGTATAGTTTCCGCCTGTCTTATGGCTTTTACTTGTCTACTGTTCTTCATTCTACTTATGCGACTAAGCCATGTTAAGTGTTTGTGTTTAATCAGTTTTAGGGCTGGCTCTACTCCCAGTTATTCTCTTATAACTCCATTTCTGACTCTGACTAATCTTGAGACTCGCTGAACTCCCTTTGAGCTGTGGGGTGATTTGTAATATACGAGCCCCTTCCCACTTCAGTTGGCCCACTTCAAGATTTGTACCAAAATATGCCTTTATAAACTAAACATGAAAGTATTTACTTCTAAAACAATTTATTTTCTCAAAAACATTTTAGATTCACTCTAGTCGTAAAAAATACATATTTGAAATCACTTAGACCTATAACTAATAGAACATCTGAACAAATAAACAATGTGCTAATAAATGCGCGAAGTTAACAAAACAACAATTGAAAGATTACTATTTTCTTTATTTCTTATTAAGGTGCAAAGTGTTAACCAAGTTTTGGCAAAAATTTGGTGTAAAACAATCCCATATATCTTGAAGCTTTTGTCTCAGTTCGGTGATTGTACGAGCAGGATGTTGTCGTAGAACCTTTTTCATCTCGTGCCACAAAGTTTCAATAGGTAACAGATCTGTACTGCTAGAAACCCATTTCAAAAGAGGTACATTACTTTCTTCCATTCATTTTATAGCGTTTTTTGAGGTATGGCACGCTGCACCATCTTGCTGAAACACAAAATCTTGGACGGATGTCAAACATTCTTCCATCACTGGTAAAAGCGTTTCTTCTAAAATTGCCAAATATTTGTTTGTATCCACATTTCCATCAATAAAATGAAGTTTTCCTACTCCTTTTGATGACATACTGCCCCAGACCATAATGGATGCTGGAAATTTCACTTTTCTCTTGAGACAGTCAACATGGAATGCTTCATTTTTTTGCGAATAACTCTACTGCGACTGTCACCAACACAAACTTCGAATCGGGCCTCATCACTCCATTGTATTGCACACCATTGTTGAGGTGTCCGTTGTCTATGTTCTTTAGCCCATCTAAGCCGATTTTTCTTTTGCAGTGGAGTTAATAGTGGCTTTTCTTTGACCTATAAACAAGTTGTGCAACTTTTGGGTTTTTACATCACTTTTTTTTATAAGAAAACTTACCTTCCAAGTGCTAAATCCCAGTTTGTGGGCGTCTCTATGAATTGTGAACCTCGCAATTCTCCTTCCAATAGCGTCACTCCACAGAGCACTTAATTGTAGATAATTGGCACCGACGAATGAGAAGTTTTGGCTTGTTTTCATACCGGCCACACTGGGTCCTCCCTTTAACTCGAGAACACCGACGTAATCGCCTTGAGTGGTGCAGACAACGGTCACTCTGGGATCAGGAATGGAACAGTATTGTCTTTAGTGACGAGTCTCGATTTTGTTTAGGCATGCACGATGGTCGTGCCAGGGTTAGAAGGCGACGTGGTGAAAGGAGGAATCCACAGTTTTTTGTTGAAAGACATGTTCATCACACTGTTGGAGTTATGGTTTGGGGTGCTATAGCTTATGGTTCCAGGTCACCTTTAATCTTCATCAGAGGTAACATGAACGCGCAGCGTTATATCCACGAAGTTCTAGAACCCCATCTTTTACCCTATCTTGACACCCTGGCAGATCCAACTTTCCAACAAGATAATGCCCGACCACATGTTGCAAGAGTCACAATAGACTTCTTTCAACATATGATGTCACATTGTTACCATGGCCACCAAGATCTCCCGACTTATCCCCAATTGAGCACGTGTGGGATATGATGGGTAGGAGATTGCTCAATTTGCAACGTCCTCCTTAGACTCTAGAAGCACTTCGAGAGGAGTTGGTGGTTGCCTGGAATGAGATACCACAGGAGGACATTGACCACCTGATCAGAAGCATGCCTAGGCGCGTTGGAGAATGCGTAGCACATCAGGGTGCATCCACACATTATTAAAGGTCAAAGGGCTTTAAAGCAGTGCAATCATTTTGAAATTTGTATCATTTACTTATTATGCTTCATTAAGTACTTATACAAAATTTTATTAAAATAAAACCATTTAAACTGGGTGTTCGGATTTATATGTCACTTAGTATATTTTGCATTGAAATGAAAATAGGTTGATATGGTGTAATTGCAACATGTGTTATTTTTATGCTGCAAACTTGATTTCGGAGTGGTGTTTTCTACTATATATTATCAAAATATTCATTGTTAATCTTTTAAACCTATAACACCCTGCTACATTTTTATTATTTGTGTTTGATAAGAAAAAAACTAAGATTTCAATAGTTGGGCCAACTGAAGTGGGAAGGGGCTCGTACACATGGAAACGTTAGCGTCACAACCAATTCAGATAGATAGAGTGAAGTGACTATTCAAATTCCTCTCAGCCAGCTCCCAGAACATTTGGAATAACCGCTTGAATCTGATTCGGTCATTTGGGATATAAATTTGGTACAGTCTTGGGCACACAACAGCCTCAAATTCGACGTCTTTGGATTCCGGGCTTCGCCTTACTTCAAAATAGCGAGTGGCTGGAACCTTACTGTGATTGATGATGCTTTTAAACTAAAATAGTTTCTTCAAAATGAACCTATCGGATAAATATCTAGGTTAGGATTTTGCTTTCAAGTATCCGAAATATTGAAACTAAGATTTTCTAATCTATTCTTCACGATGCTTAATGGGGCTAAATAACTGATCCTCAAGTGCCATCTTTGGGTTACGTCTGGCAATAATGAATGTTGTGAAACTGAGAAGGGTTTACGCCAAACACTGATAACAATTTACTTACACATTTCACTGGAAACTTTGACCATAAAATATACGAAGTTCTGATAAGAAAAACGCAATAAATCATATAAAGGCGTTGTCAGAAAGTATGGATCAGTATAAAAAGCCTTAGCAAAATACGGCTACAGAACACCTTTCCCACCAGTATTTCATTTCTTGATTGGTGTTTAATATACTTGCGTGCTCACACAGGTCAAAGTATAAGTCAAATTACAAAAGTGTAAAGTTACAAAAAAACAAAATTTGTTAGAAGTAACTACTGCAATAGAAAACTGTAAAACACAACATTGACAGAAAACCTGTAAAATGATATTACGATTGTAAATTAAATACAAAATTATATAAACAAAACATTCTAACAAATTAAAAGAGCAAAGGTAAAGACTACACCACCATGAGAAAACCAAAAAGTTTTTATTCAAACAATCTTCGATGGTACAAAATGCTTTATTGATAAGTATTTGTTTATTTTCGGACTATTTGACGATTTCAACTGAAATCATTTTCTATTGCTGTATGGAACATTCAATACCCAATAGGAGGATCATTTCAAAAGTTATATGGGGTTGTCCAAAACAGACGCAGGAAAGTAAACGCATATTAAAACAAGACAGATTGATATTCAAATCAAGTTGGGTACTTTATTTTGAAGGTTCATTTGTACCATTCCTGTATGAAAAATAATATCGGTCAAATGTTCACCACGACTGGATTTACAGACGTCCACGCGATGGTCGAAATTTTCAATGACATTTTGCAACACGGTCGGTTCTATGGCATTTATCTCGGCAATGATGTTGTTTTTGAGTTCTTGGAGGGTGGCTGGTTTGTTGACGTAGACTTTGCTTTTCAAATATTCCCATAAAAAGAAGTCCAAGGGAGTCAAATCGCACGATCTTGGTGGCCATGGCACATTTCCTCTGCGCGAAATCACGCGATCACCGAAGAAGGACTGCAATCGATGGATATTGACGTTGGTTGTGTGGCATGTTGCACCGTCTTGTTGGAAATAAACATCGTCCATATCCATTCCTTCAAGTTGCGGCAAAAAATAGTCCTCTATCAGCACGTGATATCGCTCAGAATTGACGGTAACGGCGTCCCCGGCCGCATTTTCGAAAAAGTAAGGTCCGATGATGCCTTTTGACCACAATGCACACCACACAGTCACTTTTTGAGGATGCATCGGCGGCTCTTGATACGCACGGGGATTTTCGTTCGCCCAGATGCGGCAGTTTTGCTTGTTTACCGTCCCATTCAAAGTGAAATGCGCTTCGTCGCTGAACATGATTTTTGATGAAAAATTGGCATCAATTTGGCGGTGGTCAAGGAGCCAATCTGAGAACGTTCGGCGTGAAAAATGGTCGGCCCGACGCAGCTCTTGCGTCAATTGGATCTTGTAGGCGTGTACATTCAAATCCTTGTGGAGAATGCGGAGCAAACTGGTTCTCGAAATGCCCAATTCTTGGGATCGACGCGTTGTTGATTGTTTCGGATCGTTTCTCACATTCTCCTTCACAACAGCAATATTTTCCGGTGTGCGAACGCTCCTTGGCGGGCCAGAGCCTGGCAGATTTGCCACAGAACCTGTTGCCTAGAATTTACGCACCAGACGACCGATGGTTGTTTCATTTGGGAGGTTGTTGCGACCGAAATGTTCACAAAGCGCGAAACGTGTTTTTTATTTTTGCACCATTTTTGTAGTGCTCTTGAATAACTTTAATGTGGTCTTCAATCGAATACGACTCCATAGCGATCAATGGTAAGCATTCAACCAACAAAATGACATGTCGGTGACAGAAAACAAAGATGGCGTCTATGTCAAATTGACGTTTACTTTTCTGCGTCCCTATTGGGCAACCCTTTATTATGTCATGTGGTTGGTCTGGAAAATTGGGAAGTCTCAGGGAATTAATGTCTAGCAGTAATCAGACCGATCGCAATGATATGAAATTACTTCAATTCATTTAGTCGAGCTCTAGCTAATAAGAAGACTGAATGGTATTTCCGCAGATTGCAAGCATGGTGATTCGTTTTTGCCCACAAAAATAAACGTACCTTAAGAGTTCGGTACGTTTGTTTCCAAAATATCTGACGATAATTGAAAATACATAGTGAAAGGAGTAAAAATAAACAGGTGGCTTGTGATAAAAAATACAAACAATTTCAATCTGTCGCAAATAGTGAGAAGTTTTTTAGATATATAAAACCAACTTTTCCGAGCTTTTCTACCAAGGAGACTGGACGAATTTGGGATTCAAGTTTGATTGTGATTTTAATAGTATTACCTTCACAAATCTACTTATACTATAGCCGTCCTATCAACGAATACGTAAAAATATCATAGGTCAAGAAATTAACTTATCCGCTTTTAACCTTTTGCCACAGAAATGGAGATTCTATACTGACTGGAACTTGATTTCACGATATATTAATGTACGTCAATCAATATAGTGATGCTACTACTATTTAGACGCAAGCTTAATACTTCTAGACCTTATCTGTCAATCATCTGGACTAAAACCTAGCCTACTTAGGCGACGTCCCTCTTACTGAGTGATTTTCCTAAAGGTTGCAGATAGATTGTGGGTAAATCAGGATTGCGTGCTTTCTGCACACATGTAGTTAAACCATAAACTGAGCACATATTAAAAAAGTAGTATTCAGAATCACAAGATTGTATTTTGCTGGATACGACGTGTAAAAAGTTGATTGAATATCTATTTTAATTGACTTGTATTGGAGTTATTTCTTACTCTCTACTCGCCATTTCAATCTAAAAGTAAAAGTCACGATTTTGAATAAACCGCAAATAAGAAAAGTGACTGTGGAGTGATAGGCACGCACCTTTATGTATATTTTTCGACTATTGTATTTACTAGTGTACTCATCTGCAGGATTAAAAAATTCGTTTAGGTAATTACAATACAAGATACTTTAGTTTTGTAAGGCTAATGTGATTGATGTTATTTTTTAATAGTAAGAGCGGATATATTCTGAAAGGTCAATATCACGACTACGAGTTTCGTATGAAAATCGTGGTATTAATAAACCCATTGGCATCATATTGACCTCTTTAAAAATGTTCATTCTTAACTGAAAGTTTCGTAGGTTTATGCTTATAAAAAATATCGGTCATAAATAATATCAGTAGTACATTGTACAATTACTCGTACATAGCGTAATCCATCGACAGTTGTGTTATTATAAGAAATCACAAAAAAAGTTATTTACAAGAATTATAGGCAACCATACGATCCTTAACGCGGAACATATACCGTTCTCTAACTACATACAAATATGCATTTTTAAAATGGAACATCCCGTATATTTTAATATCTCCTTAAACTTTTTGTTTTAAAGTGTTTTAGAGGAGACGCTTGGTATTGCATACTATAGTATTTGTATTGGTACTTCTAGTGGTACTGGATATTTTGATCGTATACTCAACCATGGCAGCTTGAAAGCTCACATTTGCAGAAAAATATCAGACTTGTCGTTAAAATGAGCTCTATATTGCATTTATTCCTCAGAACATTTTTAAGATGTGTATATCGTCAATACCAGATGTTCATAAACGCAAAATGCGCTATTCCCCAAATGTAACAACCTGTATATATTTACAGTTTTGGGTTATCCTTTTCATAAGCTGTACCGGCAATTTTTCATGATATACGAGTATTTGTAGTTACCCAGAAATTAAAATCCTAAATAATTGAATACATTATTAGTTTAAAGAGAAGAGGCTTAGTAGATGGGAGAACACTCTATTAAAGGCTTGTACTCATCCACTAAAAATTCTTCCTTTCCACAAACCATGGAAAACTGTTAGCAGTTTAACCCTCCAAAAATATTATACCAAAATAAAGCTTTCTAAAATGATAACCCGAAACCGTAAAAGCGTTCGGGCTGTTTTATTTCAATTTTTTAAGACACAGTGTACTTTGCGATCATAAATATCCTATACAGACGATAAATAAATAACCCGTAGCTCCAGACGTAGCGATCCAAATCCTATAGTAGGTCACATCGAGCTTTTTCCTTTGAGAAGGTCTTTCAGAATATATCACAGGGTTGAAAAATGTATGTTTGTGCTGCTATGCTAAAAAAACACCATGTAAAGAGCGAAACAATTATAAAAGTGAGGAACGTATACCAGCTTTCTTCTTCTTCTAACATAACGGAGTTATCGACCAATTACACGTTAAAAGCTCACCCTGTATACGCTTTGTAAGGATAACACCATGAAAGCATTTTTTGCCACCAGTTCAGTTCAACAACTTATAAAGTAGTGAATTATTTGATGTGAAATATATGTTTATCCTTTCTCATTCGCAATACAGATAGGTAAAGAAAGGCTTGTATCAGCGAGACCAAATATTAGAATATATTAGCTTTCTGACCCGCGGCATTATCCGCGGAACGTGTAGGTGACTCGACTTATCTAGCAATCAAATTCCAAAATCATACAAGTTAGCTATCAACTCACTAATACCATTAAAGATACAAAACGTGATCGGAAGTTTATAGCATTACTTAAAAACAACGTTTTATGTTAGTAACAGTTTCAAACAAATCGTCTGTATCGCTTGACGGTTACAGGTTCAGTGGGGCAATGACAGGACGCAGCGTTGCCGGCTTGACGCTGACGGCGGAGGTTTTAGTACATGACTACAACCCTCCTCGGGTAGCAATTCGTAAATTTACAATGTTTTACGCCTCTCGGTATTGTGGTTCAGACGTCATGCGGACAGACTGGACGGACATTCACACCTACATACAGGGTGTCCGCAAAGTTGGGGTTTTCCTTTACATGACGTGTAGATCTTGAAAACATAAACAATTTTTCTTAGTACCATATACACCAATGTCTTAACGGAACCGAGATAAAGGGCTCTGCAACATCAAAAATATCTGAATACCGTCCTGTAGCCGCGACCCGCGACATCACCGATTGGTACAAGGTCACTGGCTCAACCCGACGACAGAACTGGGTCGGGGTCAGTGTGTCAGGTCAGTATGCAACCTTCAACCGACGGTTACGGTCACGCGTGTAGAGGTAATCGCGTAGAGGAGAATCCCTCAACAAGCACTAGAGACGTGGCTAGAGAAGTGCAAGTATCAAAAACTAAAGTGTGGCAAACGCTGCGTGAAGAGGGGCTGTATCCGTTTCACGTTCAACGTGTACAAGCCCTTCAACCTGACGATTTTCCAGCAAGAGTGCGGTTTTGTGAGTGGTTGTTGCATCAACATGATAATAATCCGGACTTTTTGAAGTGCATATTGGTGACAGACGAATCTACGTTCACGCGTAATGGGATGAATAACTTTCGCAACACTCATGTTTGGTCAGTAGAAAATCCGCACGCTGTCCGTCGGGCACATTTTCAACAAACATTTTCGGTGAATGTTTGGGCTGGCGTGGCGAACGGTATGCTCATTGGACCATTTATTCTCCCAAATCGATTGGACGGGATGCAATACCTAGACTTTTTACGCAACATTTTGAATTCCTTGTTAGAAGATGTGCCATTAAGTGTAAGACAATCAATGTGGTTTCTGCGTCTGCTCGGTAGCGCATCAGCTGATTTCATTTTCTGTTGGAGCGGTATGATTCCGGGCAGAGACGTACTTAGCCCTTCTCGTCAACTGGAGAGTGAGTACTTTTTCCTTTATTTTTTTTTACTTGGTCGCCCTCGTTTCACTACACATTACCTTTGTTATTTCAAGGGTAGTTGTTTCTGAAAAGGAAAACCCCAACTTTGCGGACACCCTGTATAGAGATAAATGTCTTTCCATTAGTAATGTAGTCATTAAATAGTAGCTCATTTGCTTCAACATCTTATAGTATTGACATGTTTCTTCCGAAATCGCCCAGCAATCCTCTGTTGCTTGATTCACTGGATTTCGGTTCGTACCTTAAATAAAATTAAACGCAACCTTTTGGTACATCCCCCATATCACAGTCTAATCAAAGTAGCGTAACCTTTTCTTTAAAACACATCAACTTCTCTTTCGCTTCCTTCTTTTTTCTCCCTCTGTCTTTCTCTTTGACATTGTCTGCTTTCTAAACAACAAAAACAACAACTAATAGGAAAATATCCTACAGACCGCCCTGGTAGTCAAATGGCACCCATCTCCATATTCGTCATTATCAGTTTTAGTGGGCTCCACGTCCCTTATTTTTGGTTAAAGGCTCGAAGCCTGGTCTGTTTTCCCAGATACCAGATACAGAAGAGAAGAACTAAAGGAAAGACACGGGAAAGCAAAGAGGGGAAAGCACGAAGAGATGTAGGGTAACTAGATTTGGAAACTTTGAAAATTTTGATGCTCCGCCTAATGGTATGACTTTTATTTAACGTTGACGTTTCTATACATCGAGCATGTAGAGTGATATGTTCTTGTGAATAATATCGTTCAGAATGCGCTTTCATTCTTTCTCAGGCCAGTATAGTTGCAATTTGCTGCCTAGCATCAGCAAAGGCACTTCCAAGTATCGGCCATCACCATCACCAGCTTCAAGGAGTACCTGACCTCCAACAGTTCGCTGCAATCAAGTACCCGCACTTCATGCTCATACACCTCGGGGAGTACTCCAAGGGTCATGTACCTGGGCCTGAGATCCACGAGACCAAACATATTACGGTCAAGGAACCTCAACCTTATCCAGTGCATGTAAGTATTCTTTTTTTTTATACAGGGCGTTAGAGGATGTTGCCAGGATGGTACCAAAGTGCCCCGTTTCGTTTTCACGAGCTTAGGCTTGTGGGCACTTGATAGATTACCATAGACTTGTTGAAAGCAAAGTGAGATATTGCATCCCATAAGAAGAGCAAAAGTTGCTGTCAGTTTCTGAGAGACTTCAGATTTGGCAACATTGCGGATATCATCAACGAATCCGCCGTGGTTTCAAATCTACCCCTAAAAATTTAAAAAAAAATGATTAAAGTTTAAAATTAGGTGTTAAGATTTGGCCAATACATACTGACAGATAAATGTCAATAACAGCTAGTAAACATAAACTATTTTACAGATCCCCGTCCCGCACCCTTACCCAGTCCCAATTCACAAGCCATATCCCGTGGTAGAGACCAAATACATCAAGGTACCCCACGCAGTACCTTACGAAGTGGTCAAGAAGGTGCCAGTTCCTATTGAAGTGCCAAAGCCATATCCAGTGGAAGTACCGGTCCATGGACATGGTTGGGATCAAAATGATGCTGGAACTGGCAATGTTGCTATCACGGCGAAGCAAGATGTTGAGAATGATTTTGGAGGTTTGTAATCCCAGTATTTTATTTGGTTTAGTGACGAAGTTGCGATTACATTCCAAATCAAAATCCACCCTGAAGAGTGCCGTCAAGTAGACTGACGAAGTACTTGTCACACAATCAATGATACAAATTTATCTTATTATTGATCTAACTGAAAAGATCAGACTCGTAACATTTTAAGAATTTTGAGTTGCTTACATTTTTTTGCGCCTGTAAACGATAACCCCACAAAAATGTTTTTGATGGATATCAAATATTATCAGAGTCGCAAATGGTATAAGAAGAAAGTTTGTGAGCGATCTTGAAGCTTTCTTTTTTTCTACAAAGGACCCACGGCAGCTTTTTTTTAAATCGGTATAGCCATTTCTGAGATCACACAGGTAGAAGAACGGCACCAATCAACAGAGAATCAGATAGATCGGCGGACAAGAGTGACACATATTTTTGTGATGAAATTCCATAATCTTCTCGATCAAAGTACTTCCATCATGTGTACGTAATTCATATTCAAGGCACGCTTTGTCAAACAAAGAATTTAGAAGATCGACTTAGTATTATGGATAGTGTGAAAGAGTCTTCAGTTGGAAAATCTAAGTGTTATTACAAAAAACAAAACATCTGCGAATTTTTGACTGTCGTCGAGAAAACTAGATATATAAGTGGCGCCCTCTGCGTCTTTGCCTGCCCTAGCCCAAAAAGATTTCAGTATATTCCGGTCAGTAATCATTTACAGTTTTGATAATGAACGCAGTCATAAAAGTTTCACCGGGATGTCATCCACTCTTTGCTTAGACGCTGCAGTGGTGATTATGTTGTTGATTATTGATTATTACTTCAGTAGCAAATTAACTGTATTTATGGTTATGTGTGGGACTCGTAATTTAGTAGAAAACATAATATTTCCTTGTTACTTCGAATAATAAAATAAATTAATTTTCTTACCGGACTTTTGGATGATTTTTCAAAAAAAGAAATTGTCACCATTAATACGGCGATCATTTTTTCACAGGTGAGCAGCAGCAATTGACCTCAAGTGATGAAAATGGTGAGTTAGAGCACAAGTGATTTCTCATTATTGGCGAAGAAGCTCTACGTGCATGTTTCAGAAACATTGCGAAAATACAATGTTTAGTGAACATGCAGACTGACTTACCTGTTCCATATACGTGTGTGATGTTCCCTAGGTTTAGCGGTTCTGTTATTTGTTGTTTATTTTCATATCAAATATATGTTATATTTTTACATGTTTGCGCATGATTTTCCCAGACCTTCATGATTACGTAAAGAAATATGACAGTGCCAGCTTGGAACCATCAAATTCGATAGACTAGAAAGAGCCTAGGCTATATGTTTACATTGCATTGCTTGTCGCTAAAATTGTGTAGTCTCAGTGCATACTTTTGGATAATTTGCCTACCAAAGTGACAAACCAATGCATTGCCGTACATTTTTGTCTCTGGAAATCAAATTTAAGTAGCTATTCGTTTTGGCTATGATCACGTAAAGCAAGGCAGAAATACTATCTGTATTAACACGAAAGTAAATATTTATTGACGGTATAGCGTATGAACAACTCTGCTTAATTTGTGGTTTGGAACGTGAACAATACGATACATTCTCTCCATCAAACAGCAACAATGGCGGAGTACCTGCTAGTGGGACTCCTGGCATAAATTCTACTCGGTTTTTCTAAAGCAAATACCTACTTGGCATTATATGAGAATTCCTGCTATTATATTATTGATGCTATTTTATCCAGTAAAAAGTTTTGTTAGTATTTTGATTAATTTGATGTTCATAGTTTTAGGGCGTTATGAGCTTCTTCCATAGAATCCCGTGGCACTAAGATCAGATCGTAAAACTACTACTCACAACGCGGAAGCACCTCTCCTGAACACTTTTAGATAGATAAAGTTAAGTTAGATTAAAGTTTCGGTTGGCTCTTTTCAGTATACATTAAAAAAATTCGTTGTCTCTAATATTCTTGTTGGGTATACAATTCTCTTCAGAAACTTTAGATTTTAACAAGGAGTGGTATGAAATAAATCAAAATTAGCTCACAACTATCCAGGTAAAAGCCCAATGTCCATGCACTATCGCAACGACGATGACTATAATATGTAACATTTATCGATAAAAAGATTTATCATTCAGCTTAAACCGCTTTTTGTGATCCACAAAAATGTACACCATTTTCGGCATCCGTCTGGAGCATCAGGATTGTATGGAACCCGCACACTTTTGCACAACTATCAAACGACGGCTTAAGCCTTGCATCGTGAGTACAGACTTCGTAATTTTGGTTGCAAATAAATGGTAAACGTGCTCCTTCTGCCTAGTGAAAATCCGTTAATACGCTCCGACCGGCTCCGACTGCAAAATTTGCACTAGGTCTATACGTCACGAGTGCCACCTATTGAGGAATAGCGCAACAGCCGATAATTGCCTAAGCTACTGTAACCTGCATTTCGTCAATATCGTTTTGCGGGTTGCAGGGTCGTAGGACAAGGTATTATGTAGCATTATGGAGTATACTTTTGGAACAAGATGTGACGGGAGAAATACGAAAATTTCGGGTACTCAGCCAACATCGTTAGATGACCTGAGACAAATTACTCCTCAAATATTGCAAAATGTGCGGCAACGTTTTGAGCAAAATCTTTATTATTGCATGGAGAGATATATATTATATAGTTTTGCAATCAGAATTGAATACTCTATGCACCTGTACAAAAGTCCAGTATGGAGTTCATAAGAAAAAATGGAGTTAATGACTGTGGGCAGGAGTCGAAACGGCTTATTAGAATTCTAACTATGCCACCCCTGGGCGAGAAGAATTTGTGTCCCTGTCAAATCCTCATATTAGGGTTGTACACAAGGTATAAGCTTTATGTATCCCCAAAGCGGAAGTTTTTTTCCACCCTTTAGAAAGACTTTAATGTCTGCACATGCCTAATCTGTGTTTCCTTCCATTTAAATAACCAGGATAGCTCTCAATAAAGATGAAGTGTCTGGCTAATTGGACTAGATCCTAGTGCCAATATATAAAAAAAAAACTATGCCACCTTATAGAGAAGTAAAAGTGGCAAATTGCACTTCAACAAATAAAAATGATTTTAGAAAAAATCTATCTATGTCCAGAAATACTTTGATTTGCAAAACCTTCTAAGTTTCATTATCTAAGTTACCCGAGTGTGCAAGCTTGCCCCATTTAACCGACTCAATTTTTTTTACCGTTCTCGACATCCCAATTATGAGACTCAAATGATAACTTCCTTGTCTATCGTCAGATATGAAGACGTTGCTAGTCTTCTTTTCTGCAGATCAGCGGCAGAAGCTTGTCATTTTATATTCCTTTATGTAGAGTGCTGTCATCGGTAAAGCTGTGGATCGGATTGATCGTAGAGGAAAATTGGTCGTTGATATGTAAGAGATGCTTGATAGCGTTAGTAGTTATATGCTGTTAAACTGTGGAGAAATAAGTTGAATGAATCTAACAGTTTTGCAATCGGGAACTTACTTTCATCCTGATACATCATCGATAAGATCGACATGCGCTCAGTGCAAGCAAAGAGAGAAAAGAAACCCAAATAGGATGCAAAACGCAAGATATTGCATAATCCGTTTAAAAGATTCAATTGGATAATATAATTACTAGATTACTAGTAGATGTTACGTAAGTAGCCCGAAGATTTTAGAGATATCCAAGGCGTCGGCAATTCGCAATTATCAATTGCAGAATATGTAATTTTTTTTGAATACGTAATGTACGTATAGCGTGATTAAGTAGAACGGAAACCAAGGCAATTTTGTGTGCTCTACCAGTGACACAATCCGTACATTCAGCAATAAATTCTCATATGAATATGCATTGTGATCCTTACTTTGTTATGTTGCCGTTAAAAATTCAATCAGGACAGGTGGATAACATTTTCCCACGGTGTTACGTTGGTATTGAAAATCTAAGGCCTGAGGAACATACATAGCGGATTTGAGCTATACGTATATATTGACAGGACATCCAGACATCTATAATCTATATCCTGTAAGAACGTATTGCATACAAAACAGATATTTTGTCATTTTGTGGAACCTATTCGGAAATTTTTAAATTTTGACTCATTATTTACTTAAAAATTTAGCATAAACACTGTATGTTGTAATGGAAAAAATGTATTTTGATATAGTTCGTACACCATATACTGGTCAGAACGTGTCTTGTTATAAGGTTAAAGGTACCGCAATAATTTTGAGGAAATCGTGCAGATCCATTGGAAAGCGTATTACTAAACACTTTCATGTTTGATCTAAAACAGGCACTATTGGCACATGTACGAGTACATCAGATATTACAAGTAGAATCTTACGTAATTAGCTGTATACAGACGCAGCTGTTGTTATTTTTTCTATGAAGAATTAAGTAAACGATTTCGTCACTACAAATTGTTATAAGAAGAACTATCTGATTTAATGAACGCATGATGTAAAAAACAATAAATCAAATACCCATTTGGCGTTAAAGTTGTTACATCAGTCATATATTTACACATGCGTTGAGACAGCCGATTAGATTATGTGATTGATTTGCAGTTAATAAATATTATATGCCATTGTGCAAGTGATAAAAAAATAGTAATAGAATCAGTCAGTGCAAAAACCTCGTAAGTCCCGTAATTTGGATTTTTTAGGAGACAATAAAAACTGTGTCACTCACAAATAATCCAGTTTTAAAGTCCTTTTATAAATTTACACATCTGGAATGTGTTTGCACCGCTTAGGATACGTTCATGGTAAAGATGCTTTACGGTGATGCTTTCTCCCCGATACATCTTTTCACGGTACGATCTATCAGTTTTGCGATAAAAGTGGTAAAAATCAAGCGACAGTCAAAGCTTAAAACTGTAGATCTACCACAAAAACTTCAGAACTGCTGTTGCCAGCCGTATCGCGCTGGACTCATCAGCCAGTTAGAAATCCAACGCGCCACTCCAAAACTTTGTGGTTTTGGCCGGTACGCTTCACACCATTATGTTTTCTACAACGTGCCAAGCACGTACGTTCCAAGCATGCACGCCACTCCAACGCGCCATAGATGATACTCCAAAACCGACGAGAGAGACGGCCTAATCTGGAAAACATTTAATGTGCCACGTCTAAACTGTGGGCCTTTGCGTTTAGATGTAGTGTTTGTGCTCTAACGCACAGAGTGAAACGCATTCTTGGATTGCTGTCACATTGTTCGGACAACGTGCTAATCGTGTACACTCTAAACATACATGTCACTCTAACACGTCAGGCGACACTAAGCGCCAAAAAGCACGTGGGTCACAAATCCAACCAATGAGAAGGCGTCTTTGAAGTAATGGTTCTTGGTCACAATGTGCTTTCTATGTTGTTGGAGATGAAGCTTAAATTACCAGATGCGTTCCCTATATTCTCTGCCGAAGCTATGGCCATTATTCAAGCATTGCATATCCAATTCAATAACATCCAGAAAGCTGTATTTTTTCCGATCCACAGTCTGTCCTTGTAGCATTGGAAAATATCAATAACTGCAAGTCACCTACTAATATCTATGTTCTCCTTTTCAAGCAAATGTTGGTCGGTCTGAAATCCGCCTAGGCAGACATCCACCTTTACCTGATTAAAGGGCATAGTGGTCTCTCGTTTAATGAAAGAGCAGATGAATTAGCTAGGCTGAGCATAACAGATGGCATCGTACTCCAGGCCACTCCATCGGTAGAAGATTACCACTGCTTTGTTAAAAAATATATGTTCGACTCCTGGTTTCGGGAATGGGAAAATATTGTTCATCCCAACCTTCCAAATACACTTCCATACAACTAGATGTACCCCAATCAGATTGGTATGAACACTTTAAGATTCCGAGGAAGGAGACATCATGACTCTTTCCCTTCGCACGTCGCTAGGTTCAATCTAATACCATCAGAGTGTCTCGCTACAAAAACCTGAAGTGACTTTCTGCTTTATGGAATTCATCTGAAAGTTCTGGTATCTAAATTTAGAGTTGCCAGAATTATTTTAATTTTTTTGCTTTGTCTCCCTCCTCTGTTCTTTCCATATATGTATTTTCATCCTTCTTACCATGGTCTTCTTGTATGTAAATACCTCTAGTACCTCAAATTTCCTATTCTCCTTCCCTGCTAGATCAGTTTTTCTTGTGATGCTTTCTCTACGAAAAGATTTCGGACATATTATTCTTATTATTTATAACTTGTTTCTGTGCCATTAATAAAAAAATGGATCTAATCGATATGGCCGATTTCAAGTGAAATCTCTCTCGAACTGGAGAATAATTATAAGGTTTGTCGAAGATGGACCCCTAATTCTTATATTAAATCTAGAAATACGTCACAAATCAGTTTGACAGCAATTAAATGAGCATTTTATTGAAAATAATATTGACTCATTGTAGCTGTACACAATCCTGTTTGATAAATTCTTTGAACATATAAATGAAATTACAGAATGCTTATTCTTTAAAAAATAACGAGCAAATGTTCAATATGCTTAGCTACCGCCCCTTAAGCCAGCCCTGTTAACAGGGAGCTCTGGAGCCATCTATTGGGTAGTGGGATGGCTACTTTCTAGCCTTTCCACGGTCACCGCGACGCTTCGTGGTAACGTATTCGTTTCCTCCAGTAGACTGCACGACATCTCCCTGTTAGCAATAACAGGGCTGGCTTGAGGGACAAGGTTATTGCACGGTAGTCAAGTAAATTGATTATTTACTTGATCTTTGTCAAAGCTTAAGCAAATGTCTTCCAAGAATTTATTAAGCAGAACTTTGTACAGTAACAACAAGATACTGTTATTTTGAATAAAATGCCCAGTAAATGCATCATGTTAATCTATTGTATCTTTGTCCAGTAACAATGAGATACTGTTGTTTTGAATAAAATTCCCAGTGAAAGCATCATGTCAATCTATTGTATCAGGTTTGATCCAATCCTTCTTTTCAATAGAAAATGATTGAAAGGAAACATTGGTTTTTGTAGCTGAATCACGTGATATATCAGCATATCTTGATTTTATATGAAAATTTTTCTCCAGTTTGAGAGACATTTTACCAGCAGTCGACCATATTCATTCTAACTGGTCGAATTTGTTCAAAATTTGTCTCCCGCGGTTGGTAAAATCGAGCCCCAAAAACCGGAAAACGCGTTCAACACCAGCCACGTCTTTTTTGTATCTTTTCTCAAATCAAAATACCTTGTTTACAAAAAATACACATTTTTTATTAAGGAGAAAGTATAGTATAAATAATCTAAAGGTAAAAGACGAGACTCAATCGCAACGGCGCAACACAAAAAATACTGACAAGAATAAAAACAAAAAACAATCAGGTAGATAACAGCGAAACAAAAGTTTGAGGTTCGGTTTAGAAGTGGTGGTGTCCACCGAATTCAATACCCTCATGTCCTCCGAAGTCGTGGTGTTCGTGGTGGTGCTCATGAATGTACACTGGTACTTTCTTTTCTATCACCACTGGTACCTGGAGCAAAAAATGTTAGGTTATAAGGCAACATAGTACCGATCACAGCATATCTAATACACAGCATCTCAACTTCCTTGACACGGCGCTATATATGCAAAAACGTGCTAGAAATTTGAAAAACAAGGTAACGAAAATGCAAAGTCAATACCTTAAATAATAAGTTGGCCATGGAAACAGAAGCTGCTTTGCTATGGCAGGATATCAAACTTAAAGTTTTTGATATCTCATTCGATACTATTGGAGAGGTTCTGTATCATCCGTTGGCTATTGCAAAATTTTGAGTATCTCAATATGGATCATAACAAAATGGTAAAAGGCTTTTACGTTAAGAGGTTTTTCATAAGTTTGAATTGCTGAGCTCTCAGTAGGTGCCTTCAAGAGGCTGTTAATGCTTTGCAAGTGTATTCAGAGAATTTTTCTGGACGTATCCATTTCGCGTCGTGTATATAGCACAAGGCTGTTTATCAAAACGTTGCAGTGAGTATAGTAGACAATTTAACAAACGTTTTTTCCTTATGGTTTATCTTACTTTTTCGCTGCTGTTTAAGTGCACACTACGCTTTTTGGTATTATAGATGCATTTTTTTCTGAAATGAAAGTCTCAACAATTATATTCTGGGATACCATTTACCATGAAATGTCTATCGTACGTTAATGGATGATTTCAGATTGATTTTTCAAAACTTTACCTTCTTTTTTCATTCTTTGACTGGCTTATAATAAATTCGATGCTGGGAGGAGTTTCAGCATTTTTCACATTCTTATTATCGTATATTTAGAATAGAAAAGATCTGGATCTACTATCACCGCTATACTATGAATAATTTCCTCCAAATGTTCAGTTTAGAAACTGCTTAATAATCATTGTATCATACATCTGAGGAAACAAAACCTTACCTTGACAGGGTATGGCACAGGCTTGTGAACTGGGTAAGGTACTGGTTTTGGTACAGGCACCGGGTGGGGTACTGGGTAGGGTACCTTGACTGGAACCTTCACTGGATACGGAACCTTCTTGATGACTGGGTATGGGACAGGCTTTTCTACGGGAACAGGGTACGGCTTGGGCACTGGAACTGGGTATGGTTTTTCCACTGGTATGTGCACTTTGACTGGGTAGGGCACTGGTACTTTCTTCTCCACTGGTACGGGGTATGGTGCTGGGTAAGGTACCTGAAAATAATTGAAGGCTTGAAATGTACAGGCATTAATATTTGGAGGTCAACAGATTCTTCATCCTCAAGCTACTGACCCGGTAAGTTGTACCATTATTGCAGAGGTTGATGACCTTCTGAGTCCAACGGACTCCTTGGTGTTGAACGGAGAAGTATTAAACTTCACAACAGCGCTTCTGCTCGATGATCTGCTCAGATGATGCTAAGAAGTGGTGTGATAGATGCAACAGCTGCCTCTCGAGAGGTATACCGAAGAGGAAGATAAAACATGACGTTTTAATACAACGTAGGAAGTGCATTTGAGAGAACCGTTCTGGATATTGCGGGGCACTTTCCATAGACTAAAAACCTCACCTTAACCTCCTTGGTAATGGTGATATGTTTCACGTGACTCTCCTCGATGTGGTGTCCTCCACCGAAGTCGTGTCCTCCAAAGTCGTGACCTCCAAAATCGTGATGTTCGAATCCTCCTCCATATCCGAGATCGAACAGTCCTCTCTTTTCTTGCTTCTTGTCGGTGGACTCGGCAGCTTTGTTGTCCTCTTTGGGCTCGGCCTGCTTCTTGGTGTCCTCTGCAGCGTCTTTCGCGCAGACTGACAGAAGGCAGGTCGCCAGAAAGAAGACTAAGCCTTTCTGGAAATGGAAAGAGACGCTACATTTAATTTCAATCGGTTCCGTTAGGCAGTGCTGTCAGGTGTAGACGAAGTTTCGGTAGATCGTGACCTTTTTTTTTGGTAGATGGAGTGCCAAAAAGCAAACAAAGCATTTATATGAATTACGTTTTTTTTTTTGAAATGTAAGTATACCGAAACCAAAATTCAAAAGATTGTACAGTCTTAATCTTGTACTGACTATTGTTATACATATATGCAATATTGCTAATAAAGCTATTTGCTTTCTATTGTAGATCTGTTGGTTCAGCTTGCCATTTTGTAATTCGATAATTCTAAGCTTCGACACAAAGATTAAAATCCTTTTTCAAAAAAAATTTAACAAGGTGTTCACATTTTGGGGTTAGCTTCACGTCAAAATCGAAAAAAATAACTATCCTAACATGACTGTCAGTATTCTATACTGTTAAGTAAGGACGATTTACTTTAGTGGACATAAAAATTCATTTTTTCGTCGATATTCGTTTTTTGCTGTCGCTGTCAAAAATAGCGTAAAGCAAGGCTTATCGGTTCACTTTGTTTTTTGCACTAAGAACTCTCTAATACGAGACACGTCACTTTTGAAACAGAGCAAAAGGTAGCCTAACTTTTCGGTAGATTTTGCATTAAAATTGTTGATTCGGTAGAACAGGGCAACCGAAAAATCTGTAGACCAGGTATTTCAGAAAAATAGCACAGCAGGGGATTACAAAATGTTCCCAAAAGCTCACAGAAGATGAAGATTTGTTAGAGGAAGGTGCTCTAACCTGGTTCGCTTCCCTGAAGACTCTTGGTCTCATTAACTTTTTTCAAATTCAATTATCGCCAAGTCTTTATACATGCAAGGCCCTAGTCCCGTATTTATCAGGAAACTGGTTAATTTAGGTCTTTGAAATTCCATTGGATAAAGAAGTTTTTGGTTTTAGTCACCCAACCCTGACTCTTTCTACTTTCACATTCTTTTGGTATCCGTTTTCAAGATCGAAAAGGGTAACGGGATGGCTTTCGTAATGAGAAGCAGAAAAGCAATTGTAAGTCTGCAATTTTTTTCACGAAGAAATTAAAAGCTATGTATCTATATCAAAATTCGTTGGTTTCTAACATATACTAAATCCTTGTGTAAAATATTGATTGATGACTGAGAATTTCTTAGGGGTCCGGTTCTGGCAACTACTGTTTCAATAACAATTTTATAACGTATTTTCTGTTACTTTACATATTTTCAAATACGTGCCAAGTTTGGTGCACTTATCTCTGATCTCTTCTCGAGAATAATGATTGACAGAGGTTGAGTATTTCCTTTTTTGTATAATTATTCTTCAACGAAGATGAAAGTCTGCGAGAATTTTTGTCCAGCCTGTTTTAAAATGGACCTGTTTCTGTAAACAGTTGGAGAGTAGAAACAAATTGTAGGTACTTAAAAACTCGGCGAAAATAGCACATTGCATAATAGTCCAGGGCTCCATAGATCGTAATTTGTTTTTTAGGCTGCAAATATAGGGTTGTTCACTTGCTTAACGTGACAAGTAAGTCTATTTCAGTGTTATTAATGCCCGTCAAAACAAACATGAGCACTCTATCGAATTTATAGTCCGGTGGCCAATGAAAGCGCTGGAGAATTTAAGACATCGTGAAAAGTCGGTTTAAGATTCTTTTCCTCAGCTTAGAGACAAAATTCTATAAGAGAGGCTAACTGAACCGAACGCATTTAGTGTTGGAATGATGTATTAATATTCAAAATACCACAACAACCTACCAACAAGTTTCACTATGAACATGGTGACATTATTCAGCATTATTTTTTCGAACGGGTCAAGTTAGCACATTTAAAAGGATCCTGATTTTGTTTATAAGCGTAGAAGTGACATTTGAAAATTTGAGGAGAAGGAGATTTATTGAATGTTTTTTTAATGGAATCGAGGGTCATTTGATACATCATTTCAAACTCCTTATGAGTACAACCCTGGAAAAAGATCATTGATGAACGTGGGGATGTCAGCATTGAAAGTTTTTAAAATACATTACTCAATAAGTTACTAATATTATTCTTTTGGAAGGGTATCTCCTGGTGCGCAATTAAACATGAAATTTGTATGCGCTTTGACGATTGGTTGTTGAGTTACAACATGCATCAAAGTCTCATTTGAATAACTTTCAAGAAGAAGCTCATCTGCCATATTTTTTTTCAAAAGTAGTTTTTACGCTGAAGTTTAGTATTTATGACGAAAATGACGAACTTTTAATGCTTGAGATCTCGGACTAATAAGAGCATGCTAGTGTTGCTTGTAGCCATTTTTTCGTGAAAAAACTGCAAGGGGTATAATACAGAGTTTACATAGCTCCCGTGCTTTGATGCAGCTGAATAATCAAATCTCTTTGAAGCGAGCTTGGAATTTCATTTTGAGAGTGAACACACGCGAAGGCGACGTCTTTTTTCGCATATATGAATAGAAATATCCTGTCTGAAGTTTTTACCTTGCATGCAGCAGACAGAACTGCTTTTGCTAGTGTTCCGTTGGGATTCTTTGGCGTGACGAGGAAGTAAGGATTTACTCTACAAATTGAAAAATTCGCCCACAATTTTTTTGAAGGTGAGATTTTCCTTGTCACGGGTAGGTCACGAATTCGAGATCGATAGAAAGTCCCAAGAAACCCACTTTCCCACTCCAAGTAGGGTTTGATGTCGCTTCTTTTCTTGATGATCGTCATATGTGAAAACAGCCTCTCAAACTGCTCCGTATACCAAGTTCGTTTCGACGTAACAAAAAAAGTCAGACAAAAATGGTATTTAGTATTGAGAAACTAAAACTAAACCAAATTAGAGACCTACTGTTGAAGAAAAATAATGAAAAGGCATGTATCTGTAAACTTGGCCAAAACCCGTTTTTCCAGCAAATCAAAAACCTGCCATCAGTGTCTCAAAATACCCGATGTATACAGGGGTGGTCCCGTTAATGGAATTCTGAATTACGAAGAATTGAAGTTTAAAAAAGAAAAAAAAGCAAATCGCTTCGTACTTGCAATCTTGTATAAGACCCATTTTTTGGATAAACTGCGTGTGCAAATTATACACCTGAAGTCAGTTTATTTGCACATATTCGGATGGGACACATTTATATCGAAGAAATAATTTACCTTATTATATGGACATCCAAAAACACACAAACACGAAGCTCGAATATATCATTTGTAACTATGCATTATACATTTTTCAAAATATACAAAATTTAATCCAGTAACTATAAAAATAGAATGTTAAAATTAATAGGATAGACATCGAAAGTTAAAGTTTCCGTTGAAAAATCGTTACTTTGGTTTTATGAACTTTTAAGATACCCACTTCAAAACAAATCCAGACACCTCATATGATCAAATCCATTCAGTCATTTCAGCTTTAGGCCGTGAAATAGAAATTCCTAAGTTGAAATTTTATATTTAAATCTGTTATTTTGATTCTATAAAATTTTAAAATTCTCATTCTCCTAAGATCCGAAATCGACAACACCTCATATGTCAAAATTCATCGCGGAGCTTGCACTCCCCGTGAAATTAATATTTTTGTCCACACACATATTATATAACCCTCGGTTTGAGGCAGCCGGGTAAATACTAGTGAATTTACACTTGAATACTATTTTGTACTTCTAGGAGGTAGGGAGGTAAATGTTAATAGACGAAGCTTGTGGAAAAATGTAGCAAAACCTCATTTGACTTCTGAATTTTTTCCAAGACTCGTCCACAATAATTACATTTTACGTTTAAAGATAATAATCATTTGACACCATAAACATTTATGCAGTTACCTCACGAAACGTTTGTAACGTCAGGCAGTATATCGGTCTTCTCCCCTAGAAATATTGCAATGAATGCTTGAGTCACCCTGTATCTGTATCTATATGGGCCAAATACTGAGAGTCAGTATGTTGTTCGAAATAATTGCAAATGATTCCAAATAGTGTAGCTTCTTTCCTAATTATTGGAAAATGTTACAAAATCTGATCTTCTCTTAAACTTTGGAGTGATTTAAAAATTGATCCAAAATTAGACTTCATCTTTTTTACAAAGCAGCACTCAGCACTACGGATGTTCACGAAAAATTTTCGTCAGTAGTTTCAGCGTTACGCAGTGTGTATCTTTTAACCCACAACCGAACCGTATATGATTTCACTTACTTGGAGGATCATCATGTGAAATGCCTATTGAACACTGGACTGTTGTAGTTGGAAGCGTAATACGCGATTATATACTCCGTGATACCCCTGGTAGTGCCTTTTAGTTTTCATAACACCCCCCTCCGTGATATGCATCCCCCAGAAACGTTGATGCTCGAAAAATCTAAACGTCAGCCGTTTTACTGTTGGATACGCGGAGTGGTTCTCTATAGCAATTAATAAGAATAGCGTAATTATCACATTCACTTCTTTATATTACGTTACATGGTGAAACAACTGGCTTATGTAGGGTTTCTTTTTTATACTTAATTCCGAACATTCGGAATAAAGTAAAAAATATTCAGAAAAGTTATCAAACTGCAAGATTAGAAAAATTGAGAGAATATAGTCACAGCCATACTTATACCTAATGTGGTTAAAGAAACCGAGAACAATTAGCTCAAATATGTAAACTTAAATCAGTTCCCCAATTTTGTTGTCAGCTAATCACTATTGTAACTTTATTCATCCAGTATTTTTAATAACGTTTCAACAATTGAAAGATCTCTTTCTTTTAAGTTGTTGGGTATTACCATTGACTGTTATTTAACTTGGGAGCCACAGGTGGAACCTCTTCAATAAGAGAAGAAGAACACGATTATCAAACTCTATCTTAAGACCTGCTGATACCCCCTCAACATCATACTGCAGCATATCAGAAATTTTTGAATAACATGGGTTGTAAAATATTCAATAACTTAAAAGAAGGTATTCTCAAAGCACTGACATTAAGCAGTTTCGAAAATTAGTTGAAATCTTTTCTAACAGATAAGTGTTTTTATAGATTATTTGCATGTTAAACCGTATTTTTAATCGGTATTGATGTTTTTTCAATTGTATGTGTTTTTGTTTTACCATTTAATAAATATAAATGTGTTATTATTATTGTTATCAACCGGCCGTGAGTTTTAATCTCCCCTTGAAGATTTTGACAAAGTGAAACATATATTGGGTGTGACATCAGAAAGGATCCAACATCACAAATATCCATCTCCCCATCTTTACCTTCAGCAACCCGCAGATTTTTCCTTATCCATGGTTAAGCTAGGTTGTATTATAATTTTTTGCTTAGTATGAGCTATTTTTTCACCTACTAATATTTCCACTGCTAGACAACAAAGAAAAGTAAATATAAAAAAATAACATTCATTTCATCTATTTTTTTTTGTTAAATTCGGTATTTCAACATTTTGTAATATCAGTGACTGTATGCTACAATACATCCCTTTAGAAATATTTTGCGACGTAAGTGATTCATGTAAGTGCATTACAGATTAATCAGAACGATTTGTTTGTTTCTGCAGAATACACTAAGCAATGCCAAGAGATTCTCATTCAATAATAATAATAATAAACAGTCTTTGTTAATTTTTATGGACAAAGAAATTACGATATCAAAAATACAAGACAATACCAGTGGCGAAGTCTAGCTAATAGCTATTCTAGTTAACCACTAAAGGGGCAGTGCCCAAATAAGTAAACAATTGTACTGGAATTAAACCAAAGAATCGATTAGGTGGACAAAAAAATATATGATAAGTGAAGTTTTTCAAAAAGAGTTGAGTAACGCAGTCATTCGCGAAGTAACGTACATGTAGTGATTATGCTTTTAACTTTTTACTACCCTATAGAATGTACAACGACAGGAGAAGAACATTTAATGTTCAAAAGAGACCTAACCACTATAACTATCTATAAACAATAATAAACAAATAACAAAAGAATTGAATTTAAAAAGTATTATCATTGATCCTTTTTTTTTTTTTTTTTTTATATATATCGAAACAGCCGCGCAGGCAGAAGCCTAAATGCCGGAACACCGCGGCTGCTATGGTGATCCCAAAGAAATTTTGTTAATACGATTTTTGAACTGCCTAAGGTTAGTAGAACTGGGAAAAGCTTCCTCCCGTAGTTTGTTCCACAATCTAGACACCCTCGGGACAAAGGAGCGGTCGTACCGGCCAGTTCTGGATGTACGAAGTTTGACACGGTTAGGATGGGACGCCGAAGTCAGGCGGGTCTGTCTGGCAGGCACATCGCGCGGCGGCATCATGGAAGAGAGCTCTGAGGAGCAAAGCCCGTTGGTGTAGCGATAGAAAAGAGCTAGATCGCCGACGGCCCGCCGGTGCGAAAGAGTCCCGAGACTGTCTGTTAGAGAAGAGTCATCGATCAGTCGGACCGCCCTCCTCTGGACAGCATCGAGCATGGACAATGTAGTCGGGGCGGCAGCACCCCAAATGTGTGAGCAATACTCGAGGCTAGGCCTTATCTGGGCCTTGTATAGAGTGAGAAGGTCATGCGGAGAAAAGTACTTCTTAGCCCTAAACAAATAGCCTAGCTTTTTCCCAGCAGCTGCAGCTATTGAAGAGATGTGTTCGTGCCAGATCAGGTCCTCGGTGATCTGGACTCCGACCAGCCGAAATGAATGGCTCTTTGGTAGGACTCGACCGTCCATCGAAACTGTATGAGCGCTGGGACGCTTTTTGTTCGTCAAAGTACAGTACTGTGTTTTGGAAGCATTGAACTGTACAAGATTGTTGCGTCCCCAAGCAGTGATAGCCTCCAGGTCTCTTGTCAGAGAAGAAGTCGTCGCTAGTCTTCTTTTTTCCAGCTCAGCGGCAGAGATCGGCTTGTCACTCTGAATTCCTGCATGTAGAGTGCTGTCATCAGCGAAGCTGTGGATTGGGTTGATCGCGCAGGAAAGGAGGTCGTTGATATGTAAGAGAAACAGTGTTGGAGCCAAGACCGATCCCTGGGGAACACCCGCGTTGACGTTGAGGGATGAAGAGGAGAATCCGTCAATTACGACGGATATCTTGCGGCCAGAGATAAAGTCAGCCACCCATCTGCAAAGCTTTTCTGGGAGGCCGTAGGATGGAAGTTTGCTTAAGAGGGCAGCGTGCCACAGCTGATCGAACGCTTTCGTGATGTCAAGAGCAACGGCATGAGCCTCACCATGAGACTGGATGAGTTTACTCCACAGTTGCGTGACGTAAGCTAGGAGGTCCCCTGTGGATCGTTGGTGCCGGAAACCGTACTGCCTGTCACTAATCAAGCTGTGACGTTCGAGGTAGTCCAGAAGCTCGCGATTTATGCACCTCTCCATCACTTTACTTATAACAGAAAGCAGAGCTATAGGCCTGTAGTTGTAAGGGTCGGTTTTAGATCCTTTTTTAGGGATGGGCTGTACATGAGCAAATTTCCAGTTTTCTGGGAAGGTGCCGGATTCATAAGATATCTGGAAGAGACGCGAAAGAACTGGAGCAAGCTCAGCTGCACATCTCTTCAGTACAATGGCAGGAATCAAGTCCGGACCAGAAGCTTTGTTGATGTCGAGCGACAAGAGCACTCGTCTTACGGTCTTGTGCCTGAATGTTACCTCCCGCATAGTGTGGGGAACCCTTTGAATTGACGGCACTTGTGCGTTGGTGGGGACGTCCATGGTGGAGTTGGCAGCAAAGATCTTGGCTAGCACTTCCGCCTTGGCCTTTGAGTCGAATACAATAGTTCCATCCTGACACGTAAGTGGTGGAAGGCTACTGTGTGAGAAGTTCTTTTCAATCTGCTTGGCCAGCGTCCAGAAAGACCGACTGCCATTGCGCTGCGACATTACCCTGTGCCTAACTTTTATATCATGTTGGGTTTTGGCATTGCGAACCGCTTCATTATATTTGTTTCTGGACTCGACGTCGGCTTGTCTGTTCTCTACAGTGGGGTTTTGTAAGTAGGTTCTGTGGGCCTTGATCTTCTGCTGGCGAGCAGTGTCACACGATTTGTTGAACCAGCCGTTGGACCCTGGTTTAGGAACTTTCACTGTGTGAGGGATGTATTCCTCCATTCCGACGTGGATAATTTCGGTTATTGAAGAACAGACAGTCGACGCATCCGCGTCAGTGAAACAGACATCTCTCCAAGGAAAGCTAGAGAAGAAGTCTCTGAGCCCCTCCCAGTCGGCATGTCCGTAATGCCAAGTTTTGCGGCCTGTGCGAGTTTCTGCGGTCACAGCGGCTTCTGACCGAAACCTAACCTCCACAACACCGTGATCTGAGTTACCCAGGGGGGACAGGACGGCAGTGCTGTAAGGGGCAGGATGCGTGGTCAGAAAGAGATCCAGCAGGCTACTGGCGTGTGACGAGACGCGGGGGAAAAAAGTAGGGCTCGTCACCAGCTGGGTCAGCCCTTGAGTAAGAGCGAACGCTTCGACTGCACGACCTGCTGCATCGGTCTTATTTGAGCCCAACCAAAGCTCATTATGGGCATTGAAATCACCGAGAAGAACTACCTCTGAAGCGGGGTGATTGATGTTCAGGAAGTCGATCTGGACGGCGAGGTATTCGAGTAGGTCATCCCAGTTATGGTTGCACTGCAAAATAACGTTTTAATTTGAATTTGAACTTGTTCATGCTTTCTTGTGGAAGCTGATCATACATTCCTGATCGAGTTATATATGAACGATCTTTGTAACATGGCAGTCTTGCGCTGATGGGCTGGGTAGTTCAATTTTGATGATGAGCACCTAATGCGAGGTACGTAATGTTTAATCAGACTTGGAGGATTTGAATTATAGACCAATTTACATAGGAGAAGGAGTCTGATTTTTGAAGTGTAGCCATTTGCGTTCTTTGATTTTTCCCAAAAATCTCAAAGAAACTTTGTTAATCCGATTTTTGAACATCCTAAGAGTAGTAGAACTGAGAAAAGCCTCGTCATGTGTCATATGGGTCATACCAGCCTACATCAGCTATTTTGAACCCATTGTATTTTTCTCATATCGGTACTAGTCAAACAGCTCTTTCTTAGGACGTGTGTAGGCAGCATATTTCCAGACTTGTAAGCAGTATTCCATTCTGAGTGAGGGCTTTTGAGGTAGAAAACTTACGCCCCCCCCCTGAATTTCAGTCTGTGACTATGATTTCGTAAATAAAACTTCAATAGCTGGTCGTTTGCCCAAGTATTGCTCTCAGAAGACGAGGATGATGCATTGTGCACGCTGAG